ACCTCAGCCTCCCAAAGGCGCGGGATTACAGGCTGAGCCACCGAGCCCGGCTAGCTTTCCTTTTTAAAAGAATATTTTGGGTGGCTTCGACATAGGATTAAAAAAAAAAAAAAAGATTTTTGTGGTTGTTGAATGTTTTGTAACCAAATTTTTTTTTTATAATCAATAAAGACAATAAAAATGTTTCCATCTTAGAAAAAATAAATTTCAGCCTGGACAACTTGGCGAGACCTTGTCTCTACAATAAATAAAACAATTACCTGGGTTGGTAGCACGCGCCTCTAGTTCCAGCTACTTGGAAGGCTGAGGTGGAAGGATCGCTGGATCCCAGCATGTCGAGGCTGTGGTGGCCGTGAGAGTGCCACTGCACTCCAGCCTGGATGACAGAGTCCAACTCAAAAAAAAAAGTGACATTTTCCAAAAATGGTCCCTGTTATTTTGGAACAGTCCAGACTGCTGACAAATAGTGTCTTCTTACCTAAATTTAACTTTTTTGCTTCTACCTTATGCTTAGTTTTTATTTTTGAAAAATAGGGTAGTATTTTCCTGGAATTGTTAGATGTTTATCTCATGTTGAAAAACTGAAGAAGGATGTTGATTAATTAAAAGGAATTATGCTCACTATGCATTGTGAATTAACTGGGAATTGATTTTTGTTTTCATTTGGTGGCCAGGTAGAATGGACATTAAATGGAAAGAAATTGTTTAAATTCGTTTAAGAATTTAATGTTTTTTCAACATTCGTGTAAGTGGGACTAGTAAAATCAACTTTTTTTTCAGAGCAATGTAGGCAGTTTTTTTTCTTTAAGATCTAAGATGATTAAAAGACCTTTTATTTTGACTAACACAATACATAGATTTTTATTTTTATTTTTCCCTGTGCCACAGGATTCCTGTTAATGGAGAAAGCCCAAAGCAACGGTCATGGCATACGTTGACACCCGTAGCTGATGATAAGCTTTTCCTATTTGGTGGACTAAGTGCAGATAATATTCCTTTAAGTAAGTCGATTACAGTTTGGCCTACAATTATTATCTCATCCTTTTTTTAAAATTGTATTTCGTGTTTATCATGAAGTAAATCTTCCTTTCTTATTTTTCTGGTTTACCTTTCTCCCCAACTATATACTTGCATGAAGAATTAGAAGGAAAAGTCCTTCTGTACCCTTGGCTTTCCATGTTCCTGTTTCCTAGGGATAGAGAAGAGGAAGGCTGGTTGACCTAGAGGAAATAAAGCCCCCTTTCACTATTATGTTCTGTGATTCTGTGTCTTCCTGATTTTTTTTTTTCTTGAGTTGGAGTCTCACTCTCTCGCCCAGGCTGGAGTGCAGTGGCATGCTTACAGCCACCTCAGCCTTGACCTGCTGGGCTCATACAATCCTTCTGCTTCAGCCTTCCAAGTAGGTGGAACTACAGGCACGCACCCCCACGCCCGACTCATTTTTTGATTTATTGTAGAGATGAGATCTTGCCAAGTTGCCCAGACTGGTCTTGAACTCCTGGGCTCAGGCAATCCTCTCACTTATGCCTCAGTCTCCCAAAGTGCTGGAATTGCAAGCATGAGCCACCATGCTGAACTCTGATTTTTTTTATTCAGATGGTAATACTTTAGGGTAGGATGGAAATTAGAAGGAAATATAAAGTGGGAAGGCTACTTGCTTCTCTTTTTGTTCTAGAACTATAAAGGAAAGTGCTTAGCTAGTTTATTTTTAGGGCGGGGGCAGTTAAACTCCTGTCACTGCAGGTCTCAATGACTATAGGTTTTGGAATAGAGTTTTTTCCTTCAGTAAAAATGTGGCATCAGGATAGACAAATGACCAAGAATATCTACTACTTAGTAAGTCATGTTAGATGTTTTATATTTTCTTAGCCCAGAAGTTTTCTATGGCTACAGATGTTTTTACTAAGAAACCTATTATACCATTAAAACTATTTATAACCAGGCATGGTGACTCACGCCTGTAATCCCACCACTTTAGGAGGCCAAGGTGAGAGGATTGCTTGAGTCCACAAGTTCAAGACCAGCCTGGGCAATTTAGTGAACCTTCAGCTCTACAAAAAAATTAGCTGGCTGTGGTGACATGAGCCTGTAGTCCCAGATACTTAAGAAGCTGAGGTGGAAGGATTACCTGAGCCCAGGAGATCAAGGCTGTGGTGAGCTGAGATCATACCACTGCATGCCAACTTGAGCAACAAACTGAAACTCTGATGCAAAAAAACCAAAAATCTATTTACTTAATGATATGTAGGATTTGGAAACAACTGTTTATTTTTCAATAAAAGTTTATTGAGCAGCCGGGCTCGGTGGCTCAGCCTGTAATCCCACACCTTTGGGAGGCTGAGGTGAGTGGATTGCCTGAGCCCGTGGGTTCGAGACCTGCCTGGGCAACTTGGCAAGACCTCATCTCTACAATAAATCAAAAATTAGCTGGGCGTGGTAGCGCGTGCCTGTAGTTCTGGCTACTCAGAAGGCTGAGGCAGAAGGATCGCCGGAGCCCAGCAGGCGAGGCTGTGGTGGCCGGGAGCGGCCACTGCACTGCAATCTGGGCGACAGAGTGAGACTCCAACTCAAAAAAAAAAAAAAAAAAAGTTTATTGAACATCATCTATGTCTGTGGCTATCTACTGGCCACCAAACAAATTCCAGGATGGTTGGAAAAACCATAGTTCCTAGTAGGAGATGTAGTTATTCTTGCAGATTATTATACTTCTCAAATTTGTGAGATTTTTAGTTAAAAGATATGTGGAATCTAACAAAACTAACATCTGTACATTTCACTAGGGGTTGTTTAGTATTAGATCTTCATGAAATCTAGTGTTTTAAATTCATATTTGCTGTTTTTTGGCCATTGACCTATGGAAAATTAAATGTCCTAACTCTTTTTTTTTTTTTTTGAGTTGGAGTCTCACTCCGTTGCCCAGACTGGAGTGCAGTGGCCGCTCCCGGCCACCGCAGCCTCGACCTGCTGGGCTCC